TTCACTAGAAATACACTGCCGAGGATGTTTAGACCTAAAGTGACTGGAGTATATCCGTGGATGCTTTCGAGGGATCTGTTCACGTGCTGATCACTGTTTACGTTTAATGTGTTTCTTCAGCGCCCGAGTTTAGTAATGTCATCACAAACTCAGAAGCGAAAGCACAAAACATTGACAATTAAAGAAAAATGTGATATTTTAAACCGCTTAAATCGCAATGAAACTTTCAGTAGTTTAGCAAGTAAATACGGCGTATGCCGATCTACAATTTATGACATTAAAAGAAACCACGAGAAGATCAAGTAGTTCGTGTCAACTACTGACTGCGGGCCAGGCAAGAAACAGACACTCAAGAAAGCTGAACATCCAGAAGTGTAAGAAGAAGCTTTGTACATGTGGTTTCTTCAGGAAAGAAATAGGCATGCACCAATTTCAGGACCCATGTTGGCCATGAAAGCTAAGTTTTTTCATAAGGAAATAACAAAAAAGATGATTTTGTGGCCAGCAGAGGATGGCTAGAACGCTTTAAAAGTCGTCATGGTATACGTTTAATGACTATTACAGGAGAGAAACTTTCTAACGATGCCACCTGCATAGAGCCCTTTAAATTAAGATTTTTGCAAAAGGTGACCGATTTAAATCTTGACCCGTCACAGGTATACAATGCAGATGAATCAGGGCTTTTTTGGCGTGTGATGCCTAACAAAAGGTTCGTTTCTTGTAACAAAAAATCCGTACCTGGACGAAAAGTAAGTAAAGAGCGTGTAACCATACTACCATGTACTAACGCTGTGGGCACACACGCGCTTAAGATGATGGTCATTGGGAAATCTAATAAACCACGGCATTCAAAAACATCGATTTACCTGTACACTATTACGGACAAAAAAGTGCATGGATGACAAAAGACCTTTTCAAAAAGTGGTTTGATGAATGCTTCATACCTGAAGTTAGAAAATGGTTAAAAGATCATAATTTTCCTCAAAAAGCGTTGTTGCTTCTTGATAACGCTCCCGGTCATCCGTCTTAAGAAGAACTAACAACTGAGGATAAATGCATCACTGCGATGTTTCTTCCGCCAAATTGCACTGCACTGATTCAACCAATGGACCAGAATACCATTCAGATGGTCAAGCAAGACTATAAGAAAACCTACTTCTGAGAGCCGTGTCAAAAGACCAACTAATAGAAAAAACTTTAAAAGAATTTAATATGAAAGACTTGGTTTATGCTCTTTGTCAGTCGTGGAATGCGTTACCTTCATCAACTATTAAATCGTCTTGGAATAAGTTATGGCCAGATATAGTCACCACTCCTAGCAACGTTCCACAAATCAGTGTTACTTCGGAAGTTATAGAACAAGTCGCTACTGAAACGAAGATAAGTCCGGAAGATTTGGAAATCTGGTGCCGTGGGATGGATAAAGAGGAAAATGTTTTTCATGAAATGTGTGTCGAAGAGATTATAAAAGAGGTTTCTAATTATACAACAAACAATCAGGAAAATAACGACGACGTGATTGCAACTGCTCCACAAGTCACAGCACAAGACGCAATTAACGCCTTTGAGCTAGGTTTACAATGGACTGAAGAGAATGGTACATCCTACAACGAACTTTTACTTTTGAGAAGACTGAGGAAAAAAGCTTTGATCTCGCGTTATAACAACCTTGAACAAAAAAAATTGATGAATATTTCCAAGCTTCATAATTTGATAAATTCATTAATGATTTTGATTAATAATTCTTGATTATTTTGGTAGATATGTATGTGCATTTATGCTTAATTTTATAATAAAACGTAAGCTCTCTATTGTTATTTAATTTACTAAATTCGACATACACCTTGGGAAAAAACATTATTATACATTATGATGAGGAAGAGAGATGGAAATATACAAAAGTATGTAGGTGCGTGAAAGACAGTCGATTGCAGGATCCTATCTGGCAGCGTCGGAGTGTGACGGACAACGGGGTAAAGTAGAAGAGTGATAAAAGAGAGATGGCAGAACGGGCACTGGCGTCTGCTGCTTAGACGGATGCGCTCAACAAATGCGATTTGTTTCTCCCATTCGCAGAGTTGCCGATACCAATATGTCATATTTCTAAGAAATCTAAGTCTACCCAAATTTCGGGAAAAATAGCTGCGGATTCCACATAAGAGTATTCCAAAAATGAAAAAAGTTCAAACTATTAAAATTGTATTAATGTTTCATGGTTCAAATCATATTTTTCATGTTTGTATATTGTTATATAAATGATTTTGTAATCCCTATTCTTGTTGCCAGTGGAGATACAACAGTATTGAGAGAAATCATGGACCGCTAGATAGGGCTACAACTACCATATGACTATCAAATAGTAGTGATAAACAGGGTTTGTTTATAGCACAGTTGCCTGGTGTGGCGAATTTGCGCCATAGGGGCGATTTGACAACTTTGAAGGACAACTATAACGGGTACTATGGTGCCCGGTAATTGGGAATCTGGCAATACCTGATGATTCCTAACGTTTATTACGCCAGATTGTTTGCTGACTTGCGCAGTACAACATGACAATCAACGTGACTGAGCACCTGGTAACCCTGGTTTAAGGTGTTATATTTAAAGAGCTTGGGGCAGTTAGGTATCTGGGTCACATTTTTTAATGTATTTCGAGAAATCCGTAATGTTGAGTAAATACTAGATCACGTTTCTTGCTTAGTTTGCTGAAAATTCTACAATAGACGTACATTTTGAGAAACAGAGATTTGGTGATGACAAAATCGTAAAAATATAACGCATTTTCGTAAAATAATTTCTTTGTTGAAAAGACTGTGGCTTGATGACCCATTGAACGAGGATAGTGTCCCGCTCCGCTTTGAATATTCGAAACAGTGTACTCCTGCAGCATTCAGCTTCAATGTTATCTTTATGAAGTTCTAACGTCTAGGCCATGCTGATTAAAAGCTTGACTGAATCAACACTTAACTCTAAATTCCCCACAATTCGGGAAGCTCTACTCAAATTGGCAACACAGCGTATCTGCCTATTATTCTCATTCGTGATACAGGTCTGCGGTGTGCTGCAAATTTCAGTATGCGTTGAGTCGATAGAAGAAGTACAGTAGATGCGCGCATTACGCACCAGTTCGATTGGACGTCCTGTGAACCGATATCGGTGGTTTCGAGATTTCAAGAAATCACCTAAATCACTCTACTTATTTTTATGAATGGATAATTGGTTTTGTAGCAATAAAGGTTGCGTCTCATAACAAAAATAAGAAGATACCCACTGTAACAAAAAATAGTACACTCTTAAAAATGTGTAACGAAAATAAAAAGATATTCTAACAAAAAAATAAGTTCTCAAAAATAAAACGCAATAATGAACACAAATGTTTCAAAAGGTCCTTCACAGCTGGGGCTCAAAAACGTCTCCTTCATTCAATGAACAGTATGTCAGGCGGTTATAAAACTCCTGACGAACTCTCAAGATGGTAGAAGGCTGTATTTGCCCGAGCGCTTCAACGATTTTCACCTGTAGGTTATGCAAATTGTCTGCTTTCTCATTGAAAGTGCAAACAGTACTTTTCACATAACCCCACAAGAAAAAATCATTGGGCGCTAGATCGGGTGATCTAGGAGGCCATTTTATTGTTCCGTTACCGCCAATAATCCGGTGGCCGAACACACTTTCAAGGTAAGTGTGTACGATCGCCGCATTATGCGCCGGGCATCCATCTTGTTGGAACCAAATATTAGCGAGATCAATGCCAAGCTGCCTAATTGCAGGAACAATCTGCGTCTGTAGTAACGCCAAATATTTTGCAGCCGTAAGAGTTCCATCAATAAAGAACGGTCCGATAATGTTATGACCTAGAATTCCTGCCCACACATTCAGTTTCTGTGGATACTGCGTGCGGACGGGAATACTGAGGTGTTTATTTTCCCGAGACCAATACCGAACGACTGAAGGATTGTGATGACCGTGGAGAGGGAATGTGGATTCATCAGTAAACAAAATGTTACCAATAAAACTTCCATCCCTGTTCGCCTTCTCCATGACCGTTTCACAAAACTCCATTCGACGGTATTTGTCTAAAGGAAATATTTCTTGAACCGTTCCAACCTTGAAGCTATGATAGCCGTTGCGATGCAAAATATTTCTTGTTGTTCTGGGTGTGAGATCGGCTATTGGTACCATTTCCGCAATTTTTCTGCTTGAGCATGGATACTTCTGCAGCGGCACACACAGCAGTTTCGATCTCCTCCCTTTTCTCGCTAATTTTTGGTTTCCAACCTTCAGGGTGCATGCAGCTATGGCACTTATGTAAGCAGCCCACCCTCTTGAATTTTTCGTAGGTATTTATAACCGTTGCGTGAGACGGAATTGGCCGATCTGGGAAGCGTACCGCAAATAATTCAACAACCGCGCGTGCTGAATTATTCTGGATGTACCATTCTATCATTTGAAACTTTTCTTCTTGCGAGTACATTTTTAAGATATTTTGGATTAAATAAAGACGCACCTTTCCTACACAAAACCCAACCGCAGAGTGAGTCATGAATCCCTTATCGCACTTGACGACGGCACGCGCGTTAACGGTAGGAAATATGTACGAATAGCGATGAAAGTAGACGAGCCGATGCGCTGTTGCCAAGAAATGATTTCCCATGTATAACAATGGTTTTTCCTAAGGTGTATATAAATTATGTATGATTCGTACTTCAAAGTACATACATATACACAACATACATAATCTTACCATTGGATATGTAAGTTGTCGGATTACAAGGTACTCTTTTGTAAAAAATTCCTGACTAGAGGGGGTCTTAGGCAGTGCTCTATAATCCGACAAATTCGATAGTCAGACACTGCCCTGCATAATGTTTGTCGGATTACCGGAGGTCCACTGTAATTACTAATGTAACAGCTTATAATAAGAAGATAGTTTTACCAGAATATAGAAAGGGTACTAACAGATTTTTTTTGTTGCAATGTATAATTTTGATAATACGTACTGATTGCAAGTCCCATGAACAACAATGTGAACACTTTCAGTCGCCTATCCAGAGTCGCCGGGTATCCATAAGTTGCGTTCATAATTTTATCCATCTTACACCACGACGTAATCAGTTCTGGCCAATGCTTCGCTAATCGTAGATGTAAGATTAGTGTAAAAGTGGATGTTAGGAAGAAAATTTGCGCGACTGAAAAATATTTAATCAAAGCAACGATTCTTGAAGGTGTGAAAAAACTGTGCAAAAAGCGCAAATCAAAAATTCTCTCATAATAATAATAGAGATAAGTAAATTGAGCAAGCTGAAAGCATAACTGACAGAAAATGAACTTCAGGAAAAAGTAACTGAATCAAATAATTACATTACCTAGTCGAAATATACAGGGTGACTTGTAATGTCACGTATTCCTGTTAAGGGGTGATAGATTAGGTCAAAAGCAACCGATCTTGTCCTATCATGTCTTATCCAAAAGTTAACCATTTTTGAGTTATTTGAATTTTAAGTTTTTTTATTTTTTATTCCGATTTCAGAAGGTTAAAATTGAAATACAAAAAACTGCATGCTTGATTTTGAGTTTTTTGTTATCGTCGCATAGCAGGCATTCTAATAGTTCATAATAAGTGATAAAATGTTGAAAAGCTACAAACGTTTTAAAATTACGCTTTTTAAATGAATCATTTTCTTTTTTTTACTAACTTATTCGATAAAAAATGCAATTTTCTGTAAATAATCTCCTAGTAATGAAATGTGCAAATTATGTAAATAATATCTCTATTTAACAAGCTTTCATTTGAGGTATTAAGCGTTCAATTATCTGAAGTACATGCAGAGAAACAACAATGACACCAACAGAGGCTGGATTTTTAAGGGATTTGTATTACCTGTTTGAACAAGTTGTTACTGTCCTCAGAGGACTCGCATGCCATGATTGTTTTATGGCATCGGCTCGACGAGGAAGCGAGCGAGATGAGCTGACTTAGTGGAGGAGTGAGAGAGAGAGAGACAGAGCTGTTATTATTCATCATTGTAGTTACGTCATCGCCGCACGCCGAGTGAGAATTAGGTTTAGTTGGTATTAAATTACACACGATTATTATTTTCGAGTTTCCCAGTTCATTTCGAGTGGTTTATTTATCATCATGGCAGACGCAGAAGATCCGCCAGGACCTCGCTATAGCGAGCACAGGCAAACTTTTATAAATGAAGAATACGCAGACATAAGGTTCTGTTATGGACTTTGTAACGGCGATTCTGCAGCTGCCTGCCGTGAATATCGGCAACGTTTCCCGAATTGCCGTACACCTCATGTTACTGTGTTTGACTCTGTGTATCGGCGCATCCACCAAACCGGACGTGTTCAAAGGCAACATAGTGATGCTGGTCGACCCCGAGTCTATCCTCCTGAAGATGAAGAGGAAATCCTTCGTGTGTTTCAGGAAGACCCTACTACGTCTATGCGTATTGTGGCTGCTCAGTTGGGTATATCACAATACAAAGTATGGTTTACTGTGCATACTGCAAGATTATACCCTTATCACTACACGCCTGTGCATGTGATTGAAAAGGGCGATCCTGCAAGACGATTAGATTTCTGCAGGTACATGTTACATGCAGATACAGAACATCCAGACTATTTTGAGTAAATTCTGTGGACCGTTGAATCAAAGATGATAAGGACGGTATCATTAACTACCATAATGCTCATTACTGGGCTGATAAAGAGGCTTTAAACCCCCGAAAAATAAGACTGACGTGGTCTCAGAGCCGGTTTTCGGTTTTCAGTCAATGTGTGGATGGGCATCATTGATGAATATTTAATTGGACCTCATTTTCTGCCCGCCAATTTAAATGGAGAAGTGTATGAATAGTTCTTGGGAAAATCACTTGTTTGCATTAATGGAAGACGTCCCATTGGCGACGAGACAAAATATGCGCTTCCAGCACGACGGCTGTCCCGCACACTACAGTAGATTAGTACGGGCGTATTCAAAAATTCGCAATGGCAAAAACGGAATTATTGATAGAAATAGTGAAAAAGTATCCTTGTTTGTATGATTTGTCGAACGATGAATACAGGAATGTGAGAAAGAAAGACAAGATTTGGATGGAAATAGGAAAAGAATTAAATACAAATGGTATGTACCTAATATTTTTTATTAACTTGTTAAAAAATAATTTACGAATTTGTCACGAGTAGAAAATGCTAGCCTTGCCGCCCGTCTAGGATCATTTGCTATATCAGTAAAAGCTCCAAGCACGGGTTCTGGGGGATCTACGAATTGAAAATATTTGTCATCGCCACTTTTACTTCGTAAAAAATTGTGTAAAACACATGCCGTACGTACAATTAGAATAGTAGTACCTACTTTAGTTTCTAATGGCCTGTAAAATATTCGCCATTTTTGAGACAAAATACCAAACGACCCTTCTAGCTCGACAAAGTCTTACATTGTATTTCTCTTTTCTGACGTCTGTTAAAGTCTGCTTATAAGGAAATGGTCTCATAAGGTATGGTTTTAAAGCAAATGCTTCATCACCAATTAAGACGTACGAGCAGATTTCATTTTGCCCAGGGACAAATCTAGCTGCAGGGACACTCATTAAATTTTGTTCAAATCGTTTTCCCATGTTTGAGGTTTCGAAAATACCCCCATCACTATTTTTTCCGAAACCACCAATATCAACACATATAAATTTATAGTCCGGGCCAACAGTGGCCATAAGTACTATTGAATATTTATGTAAATAGCACCAGTAATTGGAGCCACTGTTGTTAGGTCTCTGGATTATTACATGTTTCCCGTCCACGCTGCCAATGCAATTGGGAAATCCCCATCTATTTTCAAATTCTTCAGCACATTTTTTCCATATATTCTCTGTTGGTTCTGGTAAATATATATGCTCCATATGTCTGCATATCGCTTCACAGACTTCGGTTACGATTGCACTCACTGTTGTAAAGCCAACTCGAAAGCTATGCCCAATGGTATAGAAGGTGTCACCACTGGCAAGGAATCTATAAAAAAAATTTTTTTAGGTGATGAAGTAAAAAAAAGGTGGAAGAATATCAGAGACACATTTGCAAAATGTATAAAATCTACCAAACCTAAGACCGGCCAAGCAGTGGGCAACGTAAAAAAATGGCAGTGGGCTGACTACATGGAATTTTTCCGTCTTTTTTTGGCATTTGCCAAAACGTCGTCTAATGTGAAAGGTATTGACGTCAAAAATTATGAGACTGCCGAATTTAACTCAAATATATATCAGGAAAGGGCTGGAAATGTAGAAACCGAAAATTTGGAAGACCGCGACCATGGAGAAGATGAAAATGCTGATGTAGATGCAGAAGATGCACAGAACGCCTCGGCAACACCGACAGCACCACCTTCTTCATTGAACACTGCAGCAGTGACTACTCCAGGGCACACCTTTCCGCAGACTGCAACTACACCAAAATATAAAACGAGCAGAAAACGCTATGAACCACCATCTTCGTCTGTACAACAGCTCATTAATTATTTTGAAGGTAAAAAACCTAAAAAAGAGAACGAGGCCATTGATTCACTTTTCTTGGCACATGCACAGACTGTGAAAACACTTCCCTTAAAGCGTCAAGCCCGAATAAAACTAAAAATGGCCGAATTAATAGCGCACGAAGAATTTGAACATATTGAAGAAATGTCTACCCAGAATTTTGCAAGTATGTATGATAGTAGTATGTCGTCCTTCCCAAGCGGCACTGGATTTACTCCAATAATATACCCAACAGAGGAGGCAAATTGTGCCTCGAATTATTTAGCAACATTTAATCCTAGTGGCAACATGTAGTCCAATTATTACAATAAAATATTTATTGAAGTTTTCGTATTCGATAAGCCTACTAAATTTAATACATATAATTTTTTTACCTGAGTGTAATAGCAAGTCGTTCTTCTGGCGAAATAGCTTCACGATAATTTGTGTCAGATTTTCGTATTTCATCTTTCACCAAGTTCAATATTCCATCGAAACACTCTGGAGTCATTCTAAAATATACGTAAAAGCGCTGTTCATCCAGCCGAAGTTGTGGCATCAAGGTATGGTATTCCCTAAATTTATTTCGTTCCAAGTTAATATCATGTACCCACTTCCTTCGTTTCCTAAACAAAATTGAAAATATTTGTTTTATATACTTCGTTAAACTTAATACATACCCAAATATCAAATGGCGTTAAATAAACATAACTTACCGTGCATTTTGTTCCTCTTCTAAAGCAAGAAATAGACGGGCTTCCTCTTCTTCTGAAGACGAGCTCATTGCAAAAGGAAAAATAAAATGTACGCAACCTGTCGAAACCTTCACGTTCGCGGAGCGAATAAGATGCTTTGGTATGAATAAACAGGCGAAACAGATTGCGAATTTCGCTCTGAATTTCGTTGCGAATACTTCGCCGCGATTATTTCGCGCCGGTTTGTGGGATGCTTTAATTTCCAAATCAATGGATTGGCAGAGGCGGGCCCATTGACTGGCCAGCAGGAAGCCCAGATCTCACACCAATGGATTACTATGTGTGGGGACATATGAAAAGTCTGGTGTACGATGTTTCGCCTGTACCAACGCGCGATGAATTAATTTCAAGGATAATCAGTGCAGCTGACCAAATAAAAAGCCGCTTAACAACTAGAGTTACCAAAAGTGAATTACGTGAGAGAATGCGGGCGTGTATTCGTAATAGGGGATTACAATTTGAGCAGAATCTGTAAAATACTAAAGGAAATGTAATTAAATAAAACTGTAATTAAAATAAAAGCCTTTTATTTATCCTACGTAATTATCGTTCGTACAACTTTACTCATCTTTTTTTAATTTTATGTCTTTGTACTTGAGTTAGTTGTAGCTTTTATATCTCAAATGAAAGTTTGTTAGATAGAGATATTATTTAAATAATTTGCAAATTTCATTACTAGGAGATTTTTTACAGAAAATTGCATTTTTTATCGAATAAGAAAGTCATACATTTCAAAAGCGTAATTTCCGCTATGCGACAATAACAAAAAACTCAAAATCAAACATGTAGTTTTTTTGTATTTCAAATTTAACCATCTGAAATCGAAATAAAAAATAAAAAAAATTAAATTCAAATAACTCCAAAACGGTTAACTTCTGGATAGGACATTATAGGACAAAATCGGTTGCTTTTGACCTAGTCTATCACCCCTTAACAGGAATACGTGACATTACAAGTCACCTTATATTTTTGCTACCAGCGTGAGGAAAGTATTCACTTATATTGTAATAACTTTTTCTTTTAACTTTATAGATTTGACATTATTTTCTACCTTTGATAGATGCTTACTTAGTTTGTCGAACAGGTACCCCGAGTTGAACCAAGCACTAATACAACAACCTACACCAAACTCTGATAAAATTATAAGAAACAGAGTGTAGATAGTTTTCCAGCTCTTCCAAGTGAACCGCATTTCATTAAAATTCGTACAAACATTTTCCTGCGGAAGGATGCCCAAGGCTTGAGAGAAAACCATAAAGAACTTCAAGGAATTGTAGAGATTTTCATCTTTCGGCACCTTTGCTTTGAAAGGTCTTTTAGCTACTTGGAGGCTTTCTTTGGGTACAACGTAGACCATTTTCATGGAATCTGAAAATAATATTGTCACGCTGAAATGCTGAACAACTGTTTATAAAAATCGTCGTAAAATAACGTGCCTGAAATTAAATTAGCATTTGAGAAACTCAGAAAACATATCAAAAATCTGTTGCCAAAATTAAAAATGCTTATCTTTTACTTCTGCGAATGAAAAAGGATTTACATTCACCTAACAGGGTAATGACATCTACTATGTATAATATACAGGGTTATCCAAATTAAGTGTCCACCATTAGTAACTTTGTTATTAGTGAAAATACAAAGTTGTTTGAATTAGCAAACTAGTAGCATTTTTAACGCTGGTAAAAATGAGGAATAAAAAAAAACAATTGAGAGTCGTTATTTTGATTTTTTTCAGTAAAATAACATTTTTTTAAATGGAAACCTCTGTATATTATATTTTTTTCTGTTAAAGCATCAAATTTTAAACAAAAAAGTTCATAATGACTTTTCCGCTAAAGTCAAAAATAAAGTCAAAATAACGATAAATATTTTTAATTATTTGCAGTATTATAATATTAAGACGGCTATGAAAACAACATGGCGTTCGCGATTTGACAGCATTAAGATAAGCGACAAATTGTTAAACTGGACATACTCGCAACTAGAAGGCTTTGGAAAACAATGATAAAATCAAATAATGTCAAACATTAGTGTAAATACTTGTTTATAAGCTTTATTGTGTCATTAATTTAAAGAAAAATGTTCTCCCATGAAGAAAAGTGTGATATGTTAGAATGCTATTTAGTGTGCAGAAAATCCTCCTTGAGAGCAAGAGAATACTACAGTGAATTATATCCCGCTCGCATTCAACCGTATGAACGATATTTTCTGAGACTTTATCGAAAATTTAGGGGCAACCAAAATGTTTTTGCTAAAACAAGGGCAAAAAAAGAATTCATAATAAGCGAGGCCACGGAAATTGCAGTTATTGGATATTTTGAGGCTTATCGTGAGAATTCAATAGCAGATATTCTCAAGGACTCTAATTTCAGTTATGGTACTGTTCAAAGGATTTTAAAAAAATACAAATTTATTCCGTATAAGTACCGACCAGTTCAAACGCTTTTGGCAGGGGATCCAGAGAGAAGACTTGTTTTTTGCCATTGGTATCTTAGCTTCTGTCGCCAAAATGTAAATAACTTTCGTTACCTTTTATGGACAGATGAATCAAATTTTACAAATTCTGGAATGTTTAATAGAAAAAACCACCATTATTGGTCAAGAGAAAATCTTTTGTTAGTACATCCAAGAGGCCCACAAGTCCGTTTCAGTTTCAACGTTTGGTGCGGTATAATTGGTTCAAAAATTGTTGGCCCGTTCTTTTATGAGGGAACCCTAACTGGTGAAAGATATGTGGAATTTATGTCAGAAATTCTGACTAATTTCTTAGACGAATTGGATCTTATAAGTAGACATCATCTGCATTTTCAGCAATATGGCGCACCTGCCCACAACTCCAGAGGTACTTATCATTTTCTAAGTACTACTTTTAATGATCAGTGGATAGGAACAAATGGCCCAATACAGTGGCCTCCCAGATCACCAGATCTAAACCCACTTGATTACTTCTTGTGGGGTTACTTAAAGAACCAAATTTACAAGCGAAGGTACGATAACCTCGACGCGTTAAAGACTGCAGTTAGGGAAAAGATAACCCAGATAGATGGTAGGACCATACTTAAGACAGTTCGAGCAGTTGAAAAACGTGCCCAAAAATGTATTGAAGAACAAGGTGGTGTTTTCGAGCATCTTCTTTAAAAAAAATTGTTATTGTATTTTGTAAGATTATAAGTTGATGTTGAAAATAAAGTTTGTCGATACAATTTAATTGTTTCAGATTGGAGGCCATAACTTCAACAATTTGTAACCTAGGAGAAAAGTTATTGTAAGCTTTTTTGTTTAAAATTTGATGCTTTAACAGAAAAAAATATAATATACAGGGGTTTCCATTTAAAAAAATGTTATTTTACTGAAAAAAATCAAAATAACGACTCTCAATTGTTTTTTTTATTTCTCATTTTTACCAGCGTTAAAAATGCTACTAGTTTGCTAATTCAAACAACTTTGTATTTTCACTAATAACAAAGTTACTAATGGTGGACACTTAATTTGGATAACCCTGTATATTATACAGGGTAAAAGCCACACTGCACTTTTTTTGTATTTAAATATGTTCAAAATGTCGTCCCAGTTTCTTCTTACTCTAGGTCCTCGAAGTTGTCCGTATATTATTTCAGCCGCATTAAAAATTGTTTCGCGAAGTTGTGCTTCAGTTGTTATTGGACCAGAGATCCATCGGATTGAGATCAGGAGATCTTGCTGGCCATTTTCGAGGATCAGGAGGATTTCGACCGATCCAGCGATTTGGATAATGTTCATTCAAATACTGAATGACGCCTCTAAAAATATGTGGTGGTGTCCCGTCATGAAGAAACTCGAAAGGGCCAGTTACCTGATCGTCAAGAATACCCGCCCAAATATTTATTTTAAAACATTATTGTTGGAAATGACCTTCACGAATGGTATGAGGATTTTCTTGGGCCCACATGTGAGTATTACATTGTAAATTAACACGACGACGTACGCGAACAAAAACAAAACAACATACTAACCACTACATAACAGAACCACTCACTTACCTAATCAACAAATGCTTTGAATCTGGCATATATCCCAAAATTTTAAAAAAAGGTAATATAATACCGATACATAAATCAGGAACAAAAACAGATGTTAACAACTATAGACAAATATCAATAATATCCAGTGTAGCAAAGGTTTTTGAAAAAGTTTTATCTACTAGAATGATTCGATACCTCACAAAATTCAAAATTTTAAGTGAAAATCAATATGGATTTACAGAAGGGAAGGCTATATCGGACGCAATAACTAAAATTGTAAATCAAATACATCAAAATATTGATAACAGAATCCCTCCAATCTGCATTTTTGTTGATTTAAAGAAAGCTTTCGACACAGTTAATCACGAATTATTATTATTAGAAGCATTGGAGAGAATTGGTTTCAGAGGAAACGCGTACTCACTGATCGAAAGTTATTTGTCAAATCGCCCACAATCTGTGCAGATATCAGGATCATTTAGTAAAGAAATGTATATTAAGTGTGGTGTCCCACAAGGAACTGTCTTAGGTCCGCTGTTATTCAATATCTATTTAAATGATATTTTCCAAATTAATTGTGTTGGCAAAATAACTAGTTTTGCAGATGATACTGCAATATTATATGAAGGCACTGACTGGTCTGATCTGAAAAATGTAATTGAAAATGATTTTATCAAAATTATTCGGTGGTTTAACAGTAGAAATAAAGCATTAACTACTCTAAAACACATTTTTTACCATTTGGATCTTATGCTGGACATCTGCCAAATTACACAAATTTCTCCTTCAATATTAATGATCAAAAAATGCAAATTAATAGAGTGCCCAACATAAAATACCTTGGAGTGGTCTTGGATCCTCACTTACGATGGGACATCCATGTCAATTATATTTTAAAGAAAGTTAGATTTGTATCCTACAAAATTAAATACCTTGGGAATATATTGACAGAAAAATATCTTCGAACATTATACCATGCACTGATTGAGCCTCATCTCACATTGGTATATTAGCATGGGGAGCTGCATGTTCCTCACATATCTATAATTTAGATGTTTTTCAAAAAAGTATTCTAAAAATGATATTTAAAAAACCGAAACTTTATCCCACTGAAAAATTATACGCAGATGTTCGAATGTATGATATAAGACAGCTTTATTTCTTACACAGTATCACTCACTACCATAAATTTGTAAACACCGACCAAAAAATTAAACATAATCATTATACCAGGTACAAAATTCATGGCACAGTAGTTCCTCAACCGCATAAATCTATAATGCAGCGATCATATCTCTATTTAGCGCCTAAATTTTATGAAATTATACCTAAAGACTTAAAAGATTTACGTTTCGGAAATTGTTTCAAAAGAAATTTAAAAAAGTGGCTACATTCTATATCTAGGACTGAAATTTATAAACTCATAAATACGAACATCAACTAAATACATAATCTACTGTAGCTAATTTTTGTCCTTTTTTGTCATTTGCATTCTACAGTTTCAACTTAAATTTATTGGTCCATGTACAGGCGATGCCTTCTATTGGGCCTGTTTTGATTTTATATTTATTTACTCATATATTTTGTTATCTTTGTACATTGAGTGAATACATATTATTGTTTGCGATCGATTGCCGGTACGATAAGAGTGATGAATGACCGACGCGCTGTTGTCATGTGTGTTTTAAATATTTAATTATGTATGTATATAATATACTATTTTTTTATATCGTTAGCCTTATTATCATTTATCTGTTTTTATGGGTTAAGCGGAGAAATAGCTTAAGCTAAACTTCGCGCAAATAAAAAGACGCTTGTTGTTTTTAACAGTATTTCTCGGATGCCAATACAAAAAATTACGTCACACAGCAGATTGATGTCATGTAGTTAGATACTTATGATACGCTTATGATATTGTCTTTGCACGTTGGTATCGTGGTGTGTGCCCACGAGACGGCGTGATGCAACTGGGAAGCGATTGGAGATACCTTACGAATCCGGACGTTTCGCTTGAACGCCGCCAGTTGGGGCTCCAAGACAGCCTGATAGAAAAAAGACGCTTGTGTGGGAATTTGCGTCTAACAGTCGATCCTGAAAGTTGGTTAGCAGCTGGTGCTGTCGACTAATCGGTTGGGTTAACCCCACGAAATGGATGGGACGCGGATTCGAATCCCTCCTGCGCCCATGTTTTCTATACTTCAAGATCGCCCGAAAAATCGTATACAAAACTCAGGCTTTCTAAAAATACTTTGAACCATTATGGACAACAAATTTTAGTTTTTTAATTGTATCTTGTGGGAAAAGTGCACTTCTTTGTTAATTTTGGGGCGCTGAATCCAAAAATTAGTTGCGGTTTAGAAAAAAAAC